CAATAGTAGCTGGTCCGAAACCAAGATTTTCTCGATTCGCACTTTACCAGCAGTGTCAATAGTTTCAAATAAATTTTTGTCACATTTAGCAAACTTTTCGGACACTATCTTTTTTAAAACATTTTTTTTCTGCCAGTGACCTTGCTACAATGACTTGAAATGCAGTTGCATATTTGTAGCATTCATGAATATCACTCACCTTTGAAAATATTCAACACAAACAGAAGCTACATTGTCATGGACAACTCCCATTGTGTTGACAACCTGTTCCTTAATTTCTTTGCTGCAGACAATATGGTAATTGTTTAGAAAATGTCCAGATACAGCAATCAAAGCATCTTTTGGCCATCGACTGAACCAATCCATGGTACAACCAGATATAAGTCCAGGGAATTTTAATGCCCTTGTTCGGAACTTTTCTCCAACCTGTATGAAAGATATTTTTATTCAATGAGACATTGATTGTGAATTTATTATCTCAGTCTGGAATCTGATTTGGCCCTTATTTAAATGATTTGTGTCCCCTTGATGAAGGGTGCATTGTGCTATTTCGGTTAAATTTGGCTGGCTTAGTGAAAATTGAGAACAAAATTTATAAAGTTCAAAGAAAGAGGTGTGCCGCACAGAGGAACTTAAATGATCCTTCTGTTGTTTAAAAACACATATTCAATCAACTGATTAAGAAAAAGACTCACCGGAGAGAAGCACAAGACTGTATGCAGATTTTTTCTTGCCCTGGAGATGAAATAATCATACAAGTTTTCAAATGTGGGAGGACATCTTGGCATTTCTTTCTTCATTACTGCAATCAATTCCTGTGTAATTTCATCCAGTTCATCTTTGGCAAACAAATTAGAAACCTGCAGATAATTGATTTAACTTTAAACATTTTTTTTTTATCGGTTTTAATCATTCACTACACATAAATAAAATCATTAAGCTTACAATGTACATTTATTCAGTTCGAGGGCAACATGTGTTCTGTAAGTCTCAAGAACTGCTTAAAAGTGAAGTAACAGTTTGGCAAGGTTTCAGCAAAATACATTCTGTATCAGAATCCAGTAAATAAGTGCTTTGTTTTACCTAATATGTATCTGTCAAACAACAGCAAACACAAGCTAATTTAGTGAATTTATAGATTAAATTTCATTAAAGGTGTTATCCAGAGACAAATTTTAGCAAATTGAAATCTAGAAACTAATCTTTGATATAATGAATTAGTCATCATCTTAAGCTTCACTGCAAAAGCTCAAAAAGAAATAAAGTTGCCATCTGATAATCACTTCATGGAATAGTTTTTTTTATGTTGGTCTAGATCTGTAATCATTTTTTAATTTACCTCAAAAGCATTGGTCATTGCAAAAATACAGAACTTTTAGCAATTCCATCAGAAAGTAAAGATTTATATCAAACAATATATGAATGTGACCTTGACCAAAGGTCACTGAAGTAATATTCTGATTAAAGTGAGAATGAAATATACTCCCAAAAAGTTACATCATAGAACAACATGCACTTTACCATGGAACTGTCTCGAATTGGGGACCATCTGATACTAGTATAACTTACCTCTCCTGAACTCAGAACATTGTTCAAGTATTCAAGGAATGCTTCATCTTTGATTTCATTGTCGGTAAAAATAAATGTGATTCCTTTCCCTTCACATCCAGCAACACGATACATAAACTTCAAATCATCCATCAAATTGCCAACATTGTATGTCCTGTTGATTAAGTTTCATTGCACATTACTTGCATGTCAACAATATTTTTCAGTTAAATCAAGAGTATTTATCAATTGGGAAAAACACTCTTTCAGCATGCAAAAAATTTCTCACAGAACATCCAATCATGCTAAAAGATATGCCACTTTAATAGATTTGATTGTTGCTTATTTTCTTTGTTTTAAAAGACATTAGTTTTTCAAATTAACAGTGCCATTATAACATTATATTAAATGAAGCTTTGGTACCCTGTATGAGAGGTACCTGGGAGCATCTTTACAGATTTGTAATTACTGGTGAAGTTACACTTGGTTAATTGCTAACCTTGAGAGTGTAATCTGGAATATTCTGTAGCCTGCGATGAAGGAGGCTAGACGAGTTAGTGATTGTTTTCCTGATCCTCCAACTCCCACCAACAGAGCATTTCCTCGCGGGGTACCAATAATTCTGGATATCTGTTATCAAAAATAAATCTTCAAATTAAAACAAATACATGGAATGAAATTCCTTACTTAACTTTTTTTTTTTTAGAACCACTGCCAAACTGGACCTGCCAGGTTAATGGAAACTGAAGGTTCAAACTAGGAAATCAACTTAAGTTATGGGAGAAGTCCGAGACACATTTGAAAATTTTGGTGAAGGAACAGTCTGCTTGCTAAATGCCAACAAATAAAAGGGATTCTCAAAGGTACTCAGAGTCTCTGAACCCTGCTTGGATCAATCCAAAGTATTATTGTGCACTCCTGGGATCAGCCAAGTTTTTTGTATGTCTGTGCTTTTAGGAATCATCCCTCTAGGCATTTTCTTCCTTGGATCAGCCCTAAGGTTTGTCTTATGACCTGCTGAGATCAGCCCAATGCATTATGCACTCCTGGGATTAGCTCATAGTGTTTGATGTGATCATGCCCATGGAGATTGGCCCTTGGCATGCTTGTTTTTTGTGCTCCAAGGATTAGCTTCCTCATTGACAATATTTAGTAGCTGCTTTTAAATTTTGGGATGAAAAGTATAGGTCTAAGAATGTCAAAATACCATTAACTGTGGAAGCGTACACAGGTTTTAATGTATTTGTAGGTTTTATCTGTATTACTCAAGAAAGATATAAAAACCAACTGAACCTTTAAACCCTTGCTTTATTTTATGTGTAAATGGTTGCTTTCAAACAAAATTTAAGAGAGATCACTAACCTTGATAAGATGTACCATGGCATCCTTGAAGAAGACAAGATCCATATGAGCCCCCCTGACTAACTCGTTGTACTGTTCCATGTAAGTCAGCAGTTTGTCATTCAATGTCTCATAAGAGGAGATCTATGAGGAAAAAAGGAAAAAGAAATGTCAATATAATAGGAAACAAATACCACCTATATTGTACCACTCATAGTTATGGTGAGGTCAAGCATATACTGTTACCTGTTCATATATTTTGGGAGCTTCTAGTGCAGCATCATCACTTTCTTCTCCTGTGGGTTCTGGAGCATCACGAAGAAAATCCACAAAGTATGGTTCTGGATGACACGTGTCAACAAGTGATGCATCAATGTGATCATTAATGACAACATTCAAACTCTTCTCAAACCAGGCTTTGTCATCAGCATTTGTAAATCTGAAATAGATGAAACTTAGCATCCACTGAAAAACTCACACTTTACTTTAAACAAAAATAAAATAAAAACATCCCCCCCCCTAAATCGGAGAATATCAACTAAATATATGTTTATATAAAGTAAAATGAGCAAGTTTATTTGTATAAAATTTTATTCTTTATTTAGGGATTCTAATGATGTCCTTATATAATGTAACAAGTCCAAAAATTATATACCAACCTTTTTTGTTGCACGTGTCCTTCAAAACACTTTTCCTTTTACAACTACATGTATTATTAATTTATGAATCTAAAGATTATTGTCCAAATTTAAAACAAAAATTGATGCTGTTAAAGATAATCTGGCTCTTACAGATATTTTCTATTTTGATGGACTTACATCTACACATTACACCTATACCTGTCTGAGATGACTCTTGTACATTCATGTTTGAAGAGTCCTAACACCATCAATTGGTCCTCACATTCCTCTCCTTTGATTTTCAGCATTCCCTCCCAAATTCTAGACAGATCTCGCAAGTTGAAAATGTAATGAAACTTGGCTGGTGTAGGCAACATTTTTACCTATCAAACAGTTCAAATAAGTATCAAAATTGTTTCCAAATGAAACCTGTTCAAAGTTTCATTACTTTCATGAAACAATGTTAACATATTCTCATTTCTACAGGTTCCTAATTCCACAGAATCAGAATTTTTATTTGTACTTAATGAAAGTTGTTAAAAAGAAAGACATATGGATAAAAAGTTATGCAGATTTCTTGTATATCCTGGGCTTAAGACTTTAAACAAACTTAAATTATACATGTACATTTCATGAATTTCTTGGAGATTTATGTAAGAGTTTGAAACTTTGTATTGTTTCTATGCAGGAAAGGTCAACCATACCAAACTTTATAAACCAGTAAATTGCATATTTGCAATTATATATATTTATTATGGGGACATTCAAACAAAGTATGAAGAAGATGCATAATATGAAAAGAGGAAACATGAACAATTAAGTGTGAAAAATAGCCAAGTGAGCTAAAAAACAAACAGCAGGAATATAACATAAATCACATCAAATTTAAAACTGAAAAATAATCACCTTTGTCATTTGCCAGAGAATTCTGGTGGCTGGAACAATCTTTTTCACAATATCACAAACTTCTGGATTAAAGCGACTAGAACAAAAATATCCACACCCAATGATGCCTGCAAAACAATATTATATATTCTTATAAAATGTTATAGCTCTGCAAGTGTTTTAATTTGACTTACCACAGACACAGGATCCTTATTTCAACAAAACTTTCATTTTTAAGCTTGCATTTTTTTTGGCTAAAGAAATAAATCATTTACATGTATTTTTCAATACAAGGCCTTAGAAATCAAGGATCTCAGCCTGTTTTATTTCCAATGACTTTCAAAGATAAGAATCAACTTTCATAGGTCTTGTGAACCACACACATACTTCACATATCAAACAAGAGGCCCAAAGGGCCACATCGCTCACCTCAGCACAACTACTAGAAAAAAACACATATCAGATCAAAACTGAAAGTTTACTGGGGGGGGGGGCTGAATTTTAACCCTCCTGGGTGTCATGATTTAAACAATGTAGAATCTACAATACCAGAGGATGATTCCATATAAATAGAAAAAATATCACTAATCATGGCTTTGAAGTTCTTGAAAAGAAGATTTTAAAAGGTTTCCCTATATATCCTTATGTACAACTTTGATCAGCCATTTTGGGCCCAAAACTAGCCCCAGAGGTCATGATTTGAACAAGCTTGAATCTTCACTAACTGAGGATGATTCCACATAAGTTTCGTCTTTCCTGGCCCAATGAGTAGAACATTTTTAAAGTTTTTCCTATATATTCCTATGTAAAACTTTGGTCAGCCATTTTGGCCCCACCCTAGCCCCGGGGGTCATGATTTAAACAAACTTGAATCTACACTACCTGAGGATGATTCCACATGAGTTTCATCTTTCCTGGCATAGTGGTTCTTGAGAAGATTTTTAAAGATTTTTTCTATATATTTCTATGTAAAACTTTGGTTGGCCATTTTGGCCCCACCCTAGCCCCAGGGGTCATGATTTGAACAAATTTGAATCTACACTACCTGAAGATAAATTTCATTTTCATTTCATTTTTCCTTTTCTCAATGATTCTTAAAAAGATTTTTAAAAGATTTTTCCTATTTATTCCTATGTAAAACTTTAGTCAGCCATTTTGGCCCCACCCTAGCCCCGGGGGTCATGATTTGAACAAACTTGAATCCACACTACCTGAGGATGATTCCACATGAGTTTCATCTTTTCTGGCCCAGTGGTTCTTAAGAAGAAGAGTTTAAAAGATTTTTCTATGTATTTCTATGTAACTTTGGTTGGCCATTTTGGCCCCACCCTAGCCCCGGGGGTCATGATTTGAACAAACTTGAATCTACACTATCTGAGGATGATTCCACATGAGTTTCATCTTTCCTGGCCCAGTGGTTCTTGAGAAGAAGATTTTTAAAGATTTTTCCTATATATTCCTATGTAAAACTTTGGTCGGCCATTTTGGCCCCACCCTAGCCCCGGGGTCATGATTTGAACAAACTTGAATCTACACTACCTGAGGATGATTCCACATGAGTTTCATCTTTCCTGGCCCAGTGGTTCTTGAGAAGAAGATTTTTTAAAAATGCTATTAATTTTTCACTAATTCATAATTATCTCCCCTTGGAAGAGGGCGTGGCCCTTCATTTGAACAATCTTGAATCCCCTTACCCAAGCATACTTTGTGCCAAGTTTGGTTGAAATTGGCCCAGTGGTTCTCAGAAGAAGATGAAAATGTGAAAAGTTTACGACAACGACGGACAAATTTTGATCAGAAAAGCTCACTTGAGCCTTCGGCTCAGGTGAGCTAAAAAGGAAGAAGAGATCTGCTAAAATTAAAATCTTTTTCCAGATAGTGTGCCGAACAATCAACCACAACCTACCAAAGATTTTGTCAATGGAGTTATTCGATGGCAGAGTGCAGTTGAATATGGAGAACTGTCTTTTCAATCTCTGAGGGATATCATTTCTTCCTCCTCCTGGGTGTATCATAGCAGCAATGAATTGCATGTCCACTATAGATATGTAATCACCAGGCTTGTCCAAGCTGTACATGCCATGCATCTCCATCATTTGACGAGTGATTTAATTTGTAATCTATAATCAATAGGCATAAATTTTCAAACTTTATTAAAAATTCCAGTAATAAAACCATCATGACAACGGATGTTTAAACATCAACATATGTTTTTCTTGCAATAAATTTGCCGGGTACCCCCACTCATTATGACTGGCATGTTGACTGGTAAAAATGAAAACAGTATTCCCCTTTCCTCCGGGGGGTCCAAAAAGTACTTCCCATTCTTTGTCAACAAAACTTTAGGTTTGTAAATATGCAATGTTAAACTTAAAAAATACACAGTTTTCACTCTTACTTGTCTAAAAGAAAATAGTATGATCATTGCTATAATTACCGGGAAACTTTGGATGGAGTGGAAGCCGAGGAGAAGTTAAAACTTTTGTCAGTTATTGTCAGGGTCATACTGTGCCATGTAACCTTTGGTATTCACCCTTTGCTGTCCTTTTTTCTCCATTAAAAGTACTGCCTAGTAAAATAAATACACTGAAAAAATTAAAAAAAAGGCCCCCGGGCCTTATAGGTCACCTAGTATCATGCAACAACTTTCCAGGATTTATTTGGTTTCGTTTTTAAACCAAAACCATGAAATTCACAAATTTTGAAAGAGGCACCATTGCTTATCAAAGGGCAGATTTCAAAGCATTAATTTATTTTTAATCAAAACCCCCCTGGGACCCCTGACCCAGTGGCCCTGAATTTTTTTTTGAAAGAGGCCCCTCTCTTCATTATAAGGCCAGCATTTTTTTTTTTTTGTTTAGGTTTAGTTATAACATGAGAATAAAAAAATCCCGAAGGAGAATGAAATAAAAAATTTTTTTTTATAAATCAATTGTACATTTTTTTTTGCTATTCTAATAGGCTCCTTACCACTGGACAAAAATGCTTACAAATAGGAAAGTAGAACATTTAATTGCTTTTTCACATTTCCAGTTTTTGGGGCCCGTTATATAAATTTTTTTGATGTTGGTCAAAATATATTTTTTAAAAAAACAATTCTTTAAAAGTCTTTCAATATATCTTCATTTTTTTAATATGTTTTAGGTGAATGTGAACATTGTTCTAAAATTTACTTGATGCCTAAAATTTAATTCCTATCATAAAAAGACAAATATTGGGGAGTAGGGTGAACATTTTTTTAAAATTTAAATGTAAAATAATTTCGGGTGAAAACAAATTACTACATGCCTGTATATATTTTTATATTCTTCCTTTTTTAAAAGTTGAATTTTTTTTTTTTTTTCTTCAGGTTATTGTCCATTTCTTCCTAAAATGGACTTAATTTCCCATAGTTTTATTCATTACATCTGATGCATAAGCAACCCTTTTCTGAAGAATGATGCTTAGACTGTAAGCTATAACAGATACCTAAACAATGTCGCTGGGAATATGCAATAGCTACCACGGGCAGTTTAAAACCTGGGGGATGGAAAATAATTTACATTACAGTTACTTTTGAAACGAATACATAATTATCTCACCAGCATGTCATTGTGCAACAAAGTTGTCAGCATTTTATTTGTCCTTTGAACAGGTGAAACGTTTTAATGGCACTGATCGATGAATTTTACACTAAACCAAGGTATCTTCTCAGATCTAGCTTTATTTACCCGCCGTTTCATCTTAAAACCGGAAGTACGAGTCGTAAATTTGAAATCTCGATTCCGACTCATATTTGACATCGGAAAGAAAAAAATTGTTTTCAAAACTTTGAGCGGAGGCTTTGTATAACTGAAAAAAAAATATATCCTGGCCTTAAATATGTAATTAGATCATTAGCATATTAACCAGGAGCAAAGGTAAGTTTGTTCAAAGATCATGCAATTCACTATATAATCATTAGAGCCCCACCCTAAAACAAGAACCCCTGACCCTGGGGCCATAAAATTCAAAATTTTGGTAGAGGCACTCTTGCTCATCATAACTATGTACTTAGTTAGTTTATTTAATACCCATTATCAGAGTAGAAGTTTTTCAAAGAATTCTTGTTTTTTCACTATATAATCAATAGAGCCCCGCCCTAACACCAGAACCCCTGACCCTGGGGCCATAAAATTCACAATTTTGGTAGAGGCACTCTTGCTCATCATAACTCTGTACTTTGTTGGTTTATTTAATACCCAGGTGCAGAGAAAATGATTTTCAAAGAAATAATGCATTTTCACTACCTACTTATTTAGCCCTACCCTAGCACTAGAACCCCTGACCCCAGGGCCATAAATTTTCACAATTTTGGTAGAGGACTCATTGCTGATTACAATATGCAAACAGTTTGATTGCTTGATGTCCAGGAGTAAAGAAGAAGATTTTTAAAGATTGCATTAATTTTAGTGGTTTTGGCCCCACCCCTCAGGCAGGGATCATGAAATTCAAAATTTTTTGCCCCCTTCACCCATAGATGCTTTGTGCCAAATTTGGTTGAAATTGGTTCAGTGGTTGCAGAGAAGAAGCTGAAAATGTTTCAAATGTTCCACGAGAACGCAAAGGCAAAAACAGATAGCAATAGGTCACCTGAGTTTACTCAGGTAAACCCAATGAAACAACTTTGAAAAAAAGGTTTTATTTCAGCAGGTATTGGTAGGAATTTTTATCATAATTCATGACCTTCCTTTTTTTAGAAAACACTCACTTTGTTCTGTTTTGCAATGACATCTATCAAGAAGCTTGTTCGCACATTGTCCACATTTGGTACTAAAATGGATGAAAATTCAGGAACTACATCTGAAGGGTAATGTATTCTTCTACTCTCTTAGACCAGTGTTCCCATTCACCTGTAAGAAAAAAAATAAGAAGTTTTCTGAATACCTAAAAATAAAAATTTTGAAAAGCAATACATGTATTTGTATCCCAAGTTGAGGGGCAAGTACTAGTGCTTGAAAAACCGTCAATTCCAAAAGTAGATGGAACTGATTGAGTGACTTGATTTTAATACCATGATCATCAACAACATATTCAAAGATGGTCTCTCCCTCTTTCACAGAAGGTAATTCCAATGCACTCTCATGTTTAGCCATAAATTCTTCCATTTTGGCACGATCATCCAACTCCAGCAATGCACCCAAACTCCACATCAGAGAGAATATGAAAAGTTTTTCTAGATGGAATGCGGGGAATTTTCCTTTGTCATCTTTCTTGGGATCAAACCCTAAGTACATTGCAAGCCTTAAAATAATAATATCCAATTTTAAGGATGGTATGCAATCGCAAAGCTAAACAATTTTTATCTATTTCAATTCTTCAATTCAGTAGCTGTTAAAATTATTAAAATTAATTTAAAATTTACCTGCATAATTTGGTTGCATTGCAGTGTCTCCATTTTGGGTAACAAGTTCGTATTGACATACGTGTACAAATCATCAAATATTTTGTCAAAAAGAGTCAGCAAAAGCTCACTTTCCTGGGAATTTCTCTTTAACAGCCAACCCTTCAATAAACAAAATGGGATAATTTTAAACTTTATTGGACTTATAAAATTAAATCTTGCTTTTTATTTTTTTGGAATGAGCTTTTATATTTAATCATTACATAGCTATTCTCGTTTTTTAACAGAAAATGTTGATGATGCAATTGAATATACACACTTTTCATGTATTATTAAGATATAATTTCAGTATGATAACCCCCCCCCCCCAGACTATGTTATTTCTTTATTATCCTTTAGAGCAGGGGTATAATTAGAACAGTACTTTACTTGTGTGTACCTGTAATATTGGTCTCCAATCCAGTGCTGATGAACTCATGTACACCATACCATTTCTAGATACAGTAGCTGGTGAAGCATTGTCAATGTTGTGGACCTCAAATACTACCTTACAGGCTGGGGACATTGGGATGCGGTCACCGTTGGCCAGTGTGAGAGTCTTATTGTCATCAAGAACAGAATTCAAATTCTCAATCCATATTGCATCAACAGGGCCATCAAGAACAATCCATATGTTTTCTCCTAAAAAAAGAAATAAAATTAATTCTATTTCCTTCAAAATAAATCATTAATTAGAGCCTTAAATTGTGACTTCTTGGCACTCCTTACTTTTTTCAAGTACTGGGTACTTTTAAAAAATAATGAATTTTGAAAATTCCACTCATGGGACAGTGATTGAATAAGTGAGATTATTTCAGCTAACCTTTCTTTGCTTTCAGTGTTCTCCTCCACAAGGTAGAAAATATGCCATCTGTCCAATCATTTGTTGCTACATCCAGTCTACCAAACATCTGTGGTGCTGTTATAGCTTTTGGATTCATCCTCATTTCCCTATGAGGAGCCCCGCAATCAGTCATTGCTTTCATCAAGACGTGGATGCAGCAAGTCTTGCTGCTCCACTTGGTCCCAGTGTCATCATTCCATGCCTTACTCTTTGTGTTTCATAGAGCTATAAAATTAATGACACAACTAAAACAATGTGCTTGAATCAATCACTACCACAATTTGTGTGCCTGTCAAGTTATTATACCAGTGGCAAAAGAAAAGTTAAACTTTCTATTAAGATTTTTAATGACTAGTTAATTTTCATACTTTACTAGAGTTATTGGAAATTCTTAATGTGCAAGAATTAAGTATGCATATTTATCAAGATAGTATCTGATAAGTTTCAGACAACATGCAATAAAAAAATCTAATTTAGCATAGGTGAGCTAAAAGAAATGATAGGCAACCTGTAGAGCACAAGAAATTCTTGGTAGCTAACATTTTGGATTCAATGCATGAAGAATCTAATGTCCCCCTTTTCAAAAACATTCATCATATGCATATTAATTCCACATAGAGTAAATCAGTTACAAAGAATTTGCTAAAATAAACAATCTAAGCTATGTAGAAAATTTCACCATATTTATTATAGGAATATAAGAAATTTAAGTTACAAGATTGGTCCATAAGCCAAATGAACACTACTCACTTGTACAAGTTTGAGATTCCATGATGGATGATTTATGAGCACAGCATCATCTACTTGTTTAGCAATAGCCACTTGCAACTCTGCATATGTTGCACTGT